ATGTGTGTGTGTGTGTGTGTGTATATAAAATTAACTACTTTATATTTGAAAATAATTTAATTCTTGCGATGGCAAAGCTGAATTTTCAGCATCATTACTCCAGTCTTCAGTGTCACATGACCTTTCAGAAATCATTCTAATATGCTGATTTGCTGCTCAAGAAACATTTCTAATGAAAAACGTTGAAAAGAACAATATTACAAATAACCATATTACATTTTTTTTTTATCTTTGATGAATAGAATGTTCAAAAGAACAGCACTGATTTAAAATAGAAATCTTTCGTAACATTATAAATGTCTGGTAACACTTCAGTATATGGACCAATTCTCACAATTAACTAGTTGCTTATTAGCATGCCTATTATTAACATTGGTTGTTGATTAGTATTATACAGCATTTATTCTACATGAACATATTCTACATCCCTAATCCTACCCAATACCTAAACTTAACAACTACCTTAATAACTATTAACAAGCAGCAAATTAGGAGTTTATCGAGGCAAAATTCATAGTTGATAGTTTGTTAATAGCGAGAATTGCATCTTAAAATAAAGTGCGACTTTTTGCTAAAGTCAGTCATTTTTGATCAGTTTATTGTGTCCTTGCTAAATAAAATATTAATTTATTCCACATTAAAAAAAAACATACTGGCCCTAAACTTTTGCCACTTTTTGTTTTTGCCAATTTAGCCTTTTTTGTACAATACAAAGAGACAGTATACAAGAAGCAATGATCTACCATGCCTTACAGAATGGCTTCTTTCAAAACAGCAATTCATTTCAACAGACTATGAATCTTTTACCTACCCACACCCATATGAGAGATTGACTCCAACTGTTTGTGTGAAGAAGCCTTGGCAATTGCTTCAGGCAGCTCCAGAGTGAAAGGAAGAACATCCCTACAGATATATGCAAATCATGGAATAGAAATGTCATATTTGAGGAGTGCCATGCTGTTTTTCTAGATAGAAAATAGTAAATACTAATCCATACCGACTAACACAGTAGAAGGCAATGAGTCTGCACAGGTCTGGGAAACTAATAGCAGAGCTTTCCAAAGAGAAGGCTGTTGACAAAAAGGAAATAGTTTGGTTACATAACTTGAGTCGACACAAAAATTCAACAAAAAAAACAAAAAGCAGAATAATATGACTGACACTAATCTTTATGTAACACATGTATTTTACATGCAATTTAAATATGTAAATTTGTTGTCGTTTTTCTTCAAGACGTATTGCTTGTTTTCACTTAAGATATCAAGCTTCATATATTCCTATATACTGCAAAACTGTTTCCTTTCAAACTCACCCGAGTCGTCTTCTCGAATGACGACCTGTTTGAAGAAGGACGGCATGCTGTCATCTGCCAGCCGGACGCACAACATTTTTTTCTGCGATGTACTGGACTTACGCACCAGGAAGGTCTGCAAGGTAGCAAACGTTTCCAAAAATGCTGTTAAAAGTTTGCTGTAACTGTCTGTTTTTAAAACAGATGGTGGTACGGATGTGCTGCTTACCCCCGGGGGCTCACGCCGCAGGATGTGTAGAGCTGTAGCCGAGTTAATGGACAGCTGGAGCCACACAGGGTGCGTCAACAAGAGCCGGTCCAGTACACTGATGCTCCTCAGGGATCCTCTCTGTGGACATGTCCGTCTCTTCCCCACGGGCCGAGCGTCAGGATAGTCGTAGACAGGGTCACCCTGCATCTTCAGAACGACAGCGAGATTTCAACTCCTTTGGCAATGAATCTCTGTTTCTCTTCTTTGTGGATGTTCGCGTTGGCACTTAACACAAAAAAGGAAGTTCTGACCCGTTCAAGAGGATGTCTTTACGTCAGAGAGTCTTACAGTAAATTATTCATGTACACATCTCTGTTTTTCGCAAACATTTGGTCACTGTTTTCCTAGAATGACTATTTTCAACACAATCATGTGTCTACTTATTCCTTCCGACCGTTGCTCTTCAATGGCTGAGGGAAACTCACTCAGTGACTTTGTATTTCTCCTGGCCATGTGAGAACCATGTGTCACAGTCTGACTAATAGCACCTCTCTTCTGTTTTTGTTCTGCATTCTCACAGACCATTCAAAAAAACACTTGCATTGTTCTTAAAGGCGACACAACAGAAGCGTCATTTATACCAAACTTTACGGAAAGTGAAGAGGAACTACAATTAGTATTAAATTCAAGAAGTGTGTAATAAAGGTGTTTTATCATTACGAGAATCTGTCCAATTCCGTTAAAAATAATAATAATAAAACTTAAAAATAAGTGAAAGTGAATGATTGTTTCAAAACTTCACTGATGCATCTTACATAATGAACATTCTAGTCTCTAAAGCTAACAATAAAGTAACTTGTTCACTAGTTGAGTGAGGTTGGGTAGCAGGTTGACTGTGTGTGGGCCAGTATGGAATACTTTTTGGCAAGAGCCAAAGGCTGCTATGGCAACAGAGGCTTACATATTCCACTGAGCATTCCTACCCACGGACACACACGCCTCCACTGTTAAAATTTAGGAAAGGTCAGATACTTTTCCCAAAACTTCATGCTCCTAACTAGGTTCAACTGAGAATTATGTTTGCAAAAAAAAAAAATTAAAATAAAATAAAATAAATAATAACAATAATTTGGATGTTACTTGGAATATAAAGAACATATGTACTTAAGTATAAAAAACTATATTAATAAAGTCCTATATTAAAACTTTGCTCTCAAGGGACTATTTGGTTCCTTGAAAAAAAGCCTCCTGAATGTTGTAGATTCATGAGTAACTTTATTCAGATTTAATCCCGAGACATGTCTTTAATAACAGTTTATCATATTATTTTAATAAGTCTGCTTATGGGTCAATAATAAATAAAAATGATAAAAAAGGAGAAATCTTTAAAAATACATAATCTATTGGTGTAAACACAAAATACTTGCACCTTAAATACATGAGTGTACACAAATTATTTAGTAATTTTCATTTTTTTCTTTCAAAAAGCAACCTTTTGACAATGTTTTATAAACATGTTTTTTTAAAGGTTACTCTATTTGGTTCTCTATTACTCTACCTGAACGAAATGGGCCTTTTTCATAAAAATTTTGAATGTAGGATATTTCAAATAAATATATTTTGTCACATAACATCAAAATGTATTTCTGAATTGGTACACTACTTTTGATTTGGTTCACAAAGGTATTTCAAATATTAATATTTAAAATAATATTGCTTCCCTGTTTTATAAGAAATAATAAGAGATTGAAGACTTTTAACTTTTTTTTTTTTATTATTTCAGCACCTTGAACATTCTTATTTTAATTTCAAGTTTGTTTTATATTGCACATTTAAAAACAGCAAGCACGGCTGACCAAAGTGCTGAACAAAACATAGAACAAACTTGACCATTCCAATGGTGAATATGTGTGGGGTAAATGGAAAACTACAGGGTGTAAACTGCAGTCCTGCCCATCTGAGCTCTGAATTAACTGCTGCCTCATTTACTGGAGTCTCGGCATGAGCAGAGCAAGTCCAGACTGGTGAGAAAGAAGCCTTTAAGTATGCACTGGGAAGGAGCTGCTATTATCTCTGTTTTGTAATGCAGGCTGAGGTTTTTTAAATAGTTGCCTGAGCAAGATATTTTCAGGAGCTGTAACAGTATCACAGCACTAAATTTAAATACAGCGGATATATATCTTTTTATTTACAACATGGCACAGTATAGTACTTTTATTTAAAAATGAGCCGCAGTCATATTGGAGACTTGAAAGCAAGAAAAATGTATGCCCAGAATAATATCATTCACGAATAGTAATTTGCTAATAATTAATCAATAATAATAATTAGTAGTCAATAACATAGTAGTTATTAGTAGGTCTAGAGAGAGAGTACAATATAGGATATAAATCGTGACAATGCGAGTTGTCACGTGTCTTTTGTTATTTGTTCAATAACGTAGCATCTGTCAAAAGTCATTAAACACAATCTTCATTATTAAAAAAAATCCAAAAATCTGCATCTTACTCACGCCTGGTTACTGAGCACAAACTTCAATCTCTCTTTGAAGAAGGTTAATATTTTGCTGTAATGTAAATGCCACATGGCACTAAAACAGCGTCATAACCAAACACATGACTCTATTTAAAAGCTATAGAGAAGAAGAGTCACTTACCTCTGTTTATCAGTCGCTGTTATTCAAAAAGAACAAACTACACCACTTCGTGACTTTTCCCAAATTGTCAGATCCAAACAAATGCTCTGAATTACTTTTGGAAATGTGGAAAGTCCAGGAAATATATAGGTGAATGCTGCTTGTTATTTCCCTTTCCACACGCTTGAAAAGATGCCCAGAGGCGTCTGTATGAAACTGTGATTCACACTATCCATGTTTCGTCTTCCCACACGTGTGTTTTCCAGGGGAGAGTTCTCATACATGACAAGTTGTTTCATACCTGGCTATGCGCATGCGTTGTTGTGACAAACAATATACACGAATATAATAAGGAAAAAAA